ATTGACTCAATTGGTTCCATTGACTCAATTGGTTCCATTGACTCAATTGGNCGAAGTGAACAATGTTTGCAATGTTTCGGAGTGAACAATGTTTGCAAGGTTTCGAAGTGAACAATGTTTGCAATGTTTCGAAGTGAACAATGTTTGCAATGTTTCGAAGTGAACAATGTTTGCAATCAATAATGTACACAACTGTACTACGTATAGCACCACTGCTTGTGGGCACATCTCTAACAACAATACCAGCATCATTATGACTAGAGAGAAGACTGGTAACATGCATCATAATCAACATCGTTACATGAAAATAGCATCAACATTATCATCACCACTAGCAAAATTTTCATCACAAGAAGCCTCATCGCACCAGCAGCATCACATGTAAACAGCATCATCTGCACCTCCAGCAGCTTCGTCGCATCAGAAGCAGCAGGAAGACCATCAGTATATAGCAGCAGCATCAGACCATCATCAGCAGCAGAAAGACCATCAGTAGCAGCAGCTGCAGACCATAACTTGCACACCAGCAGGAGCTGCGGCGAAATGGTCTGCACCATGGAAGACCAGTAGCATTAAAAACCAACTATCAACCGCAGACAATTATTGAAAGCAGTAGTGAATCCACACCATCATCAGCAGCATCAGACCATCATCAGCAGCATCAGACAATCATCAGCAGCATCAGACCATCATCAGCAGCATCAGACCATCATCAGCAGCATCAGACCATCAGCAGCATCAGACCATCATCAGCAGAATCAGACCATCATCAGCAGCATCAGGCCATCATCAGCAGCATCAGACCATCATCAGCAGCATCAGACCATCATCAGCAGCATCAGACCATCATCAGCAGCATCAGACCATCATCAGCAGCATCAGACCATCATCAGCAGACCACCTTCATTAGCAGCAGCTGCGGCGGTAGAGAGCCAGAGCGGCACACGTACGGCGGTGCCATGGAAGATCAGTGGCACTCAGTCTGGGTCGCGCGGTGCCACGCGGAACATTCCTCCGACTACGCCGCGACTGCCGATGCCTGGCTCCCGACGCTCTCGTTTCCTTAATATACAATTCCTTGAAGTTTATTCAATACACAGGAATGATATAATCATATCACATATATTACGTACACATATGAGTTAAATTGTGTGCTGTCAAAGGAGAAAAGTGGTGCGGGAACCAGTATTAAGGGTATGGTGTTCAGCCATTTCAGTTTTTTCGGTAGTGTTTTCTTGTTTTTTGAAGTGGAGCTTCATTGCTGCCGCTTCCTCGGCCACAGCTGCCTCTTCAAAGATGGCGAACTCGGCTCGAACTCTGATCGAATACGGAAGCAAATAACTCAAGGGTTCAAAGGCTGGTATCAAGATCAATTTTTAAAGATTAAGCAGCAACAGTTTTGATTACTGTGATTTTTGTCTTCCATTTATCTCATGCCACTTTATTTAATTTTTTAATGTTCAGCTTGCTATAAAATGATTTGCCGGTTGTGTTAAAGCCACAGTGGGAAAAACTTTGTAATACTTATGCATCTTTGAAAATTTTGGAGGAGTTAAATTAAATCGGTTAATTCTTAAAAGTTGAATAAAAAGAAGTGTACCCAGAACATGCAATATTATTATTTGAACATTTAAAAATTGAAAGTTAACTGAAATTTTGCGTTATATGGCAATTAAAGTATTATTATTCACAATTAAATGTATTATTCAAAGTATTCTTCAAATGTTGACAATTATAGTTCAAAATAAGAAGATAAGGAATATAAGAAAATTTCCTCAGCTGATATCAGGAAACAATACACAGCAATGGTTACACGGAGGCTAACAACTTATATGAATTAAACCTTGGACAATCCAAAGAACTCTTCTCATATTTTGCTAATAGAACTCTTTGTTTCATAATTTTTTATAAAAGACTAATTACATGTTTTTCAAAGAAAACTTCTCTACTCCATTATATACGTAAGCACTTTGAAACGTTTGTACTTAAATTTATTCAGACATGTATGTCTCATGTTACTATAACATGGCATGCTATTTTTTTTATATTTCTAGCAATTGGTTATACCATTGACGCATGGTTGGGGTTTTCTCCTCTTTAATAGCCTGAATAACAGTCGTGGCGGTCACTTTGTTTATTTTCTTAAGCTACCGCTGCTATAAAATACCCTTGCTGTTCGGTGCTGGGAGGTCATGCGTACAGATGTTGGCAGGTCATGCGTACAGATGTTGGCAGGTCATGCGTACAGATGTTGGCAGGTCATGCGTACAGATGTTGGCAGGTCATGTGTACAGATGTTGGCAGGTCATGGGTTCATGTGCTGACAGTTTACGCTGTCCCTCACTGCAGGGAGGCCGTTGTTATAAACACTTCTATTTGCCGTACTTGCAGTGACTCGACTGTTTACACTTCGCTGCACTTGCTGCTAGAGGAAACAAGCTGTCGTCTCGGAGCACCCGAAGAAGAATGAATTTTTGTAGGTCAGTTTTCGATCTTAGAATATTCAGGGGTCATTACCCGATAGTAAAATTTTTGCAAGTCAGTATTTAGTCAAGAAATTTTTGTAGGTCGGTTTTCGATCGTAGATTTTTTTTTGCCAGTTTCCCATCGTAAAGTCTTAGTACGTCTGGTCATAAAATTTTTGTAGGCCAGTTTTCACCGTAAAACTTTTTAGATCAGTTTTCAACATGATTTTGTACGCTAATTTTTGATAGTGGAAGTTTCGACATCAGTTTTCCGTAGTAAAAACTGTAAAGGTCAGTTTATGATCGTAGAATTTTTGTAGGTCAGTTTTCCATTTTGAAAATTTTTTTGGCAAGTTTGCGAGCGTGTCAAGTTAGAGATCTTTAGAATTTTGTAAATATATTTACCATTACAGGTTATTTGGAGATTGTGGGGTCAGTTTTTGATCAGAGGTAAGTTAGAGCCCATGGAATTTGTGTAGGTCAGTTCTTGATCGTAGATTAGTTAGAGAACGTAGAATTTCCCTAGGTCATTTCCCGATCATGGGTTAGTTAGTCTTATGATTTTCGTGGGTCAAATTTCAATCGTGCATAATGGTAGAAGTTTAGCAAGTGATCAAATATTTTTTATAGAATTTGATTTTCAAAAACTTGGATTAATTCTGAGAAAATATTGCATAACATAATCATAAACACGATAATTGTGAACGTGAAACAAACAAACCTAATTAGACATTGGCAGTGAATCAAATTAAAAAATGAATCCAATTGAAATCCCGTTTAAGTTTTTCTTATTTTAAAAAGTGGCTGATATTTTTTTAAATTTTGAACGTAAAAGAATTGTATTTATCTAGGAAACAGATCCTCCGCGGTTTTCTCCGCGAAGGAAGAAACAACCGAATATTGTTCAGCCTAATTCAGTTCTCTTATTAAAAATACCTTGCTGAAACTCTTCAGTTGGATATTATTTGTGTTTCAAATTTAAAGGCGAATGTACATTTTTCGAGACATTTACTGATAACTCATTGATAGCAAATCCTTTCAATTTGTTATCATGTTGCTAACTGAGGGCATTATTCATTGAAGAAGCACATAACTGAATAAAATGTTAGGTAGAGATAAGTTCATTTGTAATTATCAAATATGACCACAGTAAAGTGACCTCAGAGACAACATGCTTACCAAACCAACATCGGCAGCACGAAACTCGAGCGTCGTGTTTACCGTGGCATGAGCGATGGCTAAACTGTCTACATGCGTCACGACGGGGCATGCGATAGCCTCGAGCCAAAGTCCTGTTGCTTTGACACGTGACCAGAGCTTGGTATTGTGCACAGGGACAGAGCTCAGCACTTTGTACGTGAGCAGAGATTTGCAATTTGTACTTGAGCAGAGATTTGCACTTTAGTCCTGTTGCTCTGACACGGGACGAAAGCTTGGCATTGTGCACAGGGCCAGAGCTCTGCACTTTGTACGTGAGCAGAGATTTGCACTTTGTACTTAAGCAGAGATTTGCCATTTGTACTTAAGCAGAGATTAGCACTCTGGACCCGGCCAGATCAGAGCTTTATAATCTGTGCATCGTTAGAGCTTTGTACCGGAGCTTGGCATCCAATAAGAGGCTAGAGCTTTTTTTTTTTTTTGATGCATGACTAAAAAAATTGCGCCCGGATGATGAAATTTATGAGTGAGACCTCTGCACTCTGTAAGTTACCAGAGATCTGCATTCCGAGCATGTCTATAGAGATACAAGCTCTGTGCCTGGTCAGAGCTATAGGTAACCGCAGAGCTTAGCACTTACTTTGTGCTTGAAGAAACCTCTGCGCTCCTGACGAGACCAGATCCTTGTCTTCTGGCAACCGTACAAGTCTTATCTTGCATGGGAGTTTGTTTTACTAATAAAGTGCGTGAAGGCTGTGAAATTACCAGCTAAACTATTTTACAATTTAGGCAGAAAAAAACTCTAAGGAGCATCACGCCTAAGTTGAACTAAGTTGCAATTTATTAATCCTCATAACACGAGCGAGTCACTACTCTTGCTTCAGTAAGAGTGATGGTATTTTGAGAGTGTTATTTTGTAAAGCAGTAGAGCAAGTATTTTGTTGTACCGAAAAAATGCTTTCTTTACAATCATTTCATTCAAATGCAATTATAGTTAAAGATCGCGTGTAAATTGTTCAAAAACAAAATAAGTTTGAAAATAAGCTACTTAAAAACTACATACATCTGCACTAATTATGATCAAGAATCACAAGTGGCAAAATTTAGAAAAGAAGCCCGGAAAATATAAGCGCTGTTAAATATTTCACCGCCATTGTTCCATCACAAACTGCCAGATAGGTTCTAATATTCAAAACATGCTTTTAAATAGGTTTAATTGTTAGAATTTTTCTAAACTTTTGCTTAGAGGATCTCATATTTTTTTAGAATTCAATGTCAGTTATCAAGTTTTCTTCCGCAAAATCAAGTAACACAACTTCTATTTGTCTCAGTGAACTTGTCTGTCATTAAACAACCAGTTATGTAGACTCTTTATGTGTGGCTCAAAAGACCACGGCGGTGAAGCCACCGTTGAAAAATTATGATTCAATTTATTGAAAAATTGTGATACATTTTCTCTGGCCGTTGAACCTAGAAAATGTAGTCAATTTGGTTACAACGGTGGTCAGAGGGACCCCAAAAATTTATTTCTTCACATTATACAAGAGAAGACAATTGATTTCTGAGAACCTTTCGAATATATTTACTGGTTCTACACAGCACTCTTCAAAGATGGTTCTGCGTTTCTCAACGATGATTCTATGGTTCTCATCGTTGGTTCCACAAGGAGAAGGTTTTTGGTTCTGAAGTACCATGATATAGCGGCATCGTTGATACCGTGCGTTCCGCGCTCGACTGCCGGATTCGTAGAAGAACGGTGCTAGGCAGTTTAGTTTGCGACATGGCTTTGCTTGATGAAAATATCTATAAACAACATATTCTTCAAAACATTCACCTGAAAATACTTAGGAGGTGTTACCTGTGCTTCAAATACAAAGGAGAAAACCCATTTTTCGAGACATTTACCGAAAGCTCATTGATAGCAAGAGATTCCAATGAATCAAATGGAGAGCAACCCTGGTACAGCAGTTGGACTACAGGTCCAAAAAATACACGAGGAAATGATGACACATTTAGAAGCGAGGACCCAAACGAAACAAGACGCGACTGCAACTTGAGTGACGTCAGAGACCACGCTGATTTAAACGATTGCAGTGACGTAGGGAATTCAAACTACGTCAGAGGTAACAACGTACATGGCGTCATGGACGATAACAAAGACGTCAGGTACGACGACAAAGTTGATGACGGCAGCATCGAAGGAAGACGAACACCATCGACATGTCTGCGCAGCGGGCTGAAGAAACGTCTCTCGAGCTTCGTGCTGCTGGTCACCGTCCTGCTGGCAGGTCAGACTCGACTTTTTAACCTGTATTCGGTTTACCTGCATGAAGTTGTAGTTAACTTTTATTTCTAACACCGTAGGCGTATGACTTTATCGTAAATTGTCGCTGAAAATTAGTACGACAGTTACTTTTCAGTTGTATAAATGCATGAGGTTACTTGTTTGAGTCGGTTACAGAATCTCTCAGCTTCATTGCTTCTTGAGCGCAGTTCATGCATTTGAACAGAACCAGTTTTCGGTATAAAAATTATTTTCGCTCCCTCAATCTTGATTCATTTAAAATTCATATCGACAAGCAACAGCCCACCCTTAGTGAGGTGATATGGACAGACCCTGAGTGAGGTGACATGGACAGACCCTGAGTGAGGCGATTGTGCTGCTGGTCACCGTCCTGCTGGCAGGTCAGACTCGACTTTTTAACCTGTGTTTGATTTACCTGCGTCAACTTGTAGTTAACCTTTACTTCCAACACCGTAAGCGTATGACTTTATCGTAAATTGTTTCTGGAATTTAGTACTTTAGTAAAGTTACTTTTCAGCTATACAAATGTTATGTTATTCAGTTATACATATGGTAATCAAATCACGAAAAATTCAAGAATCGGCAACAGGCCACGGGCCTATTTCTTAAGTGCCGACACTTCTATTCTATTCTATTCTATAATACTTGTATGTGTCGGTTACAGAATCTCCAAGCTTCATTGCTTTTTGAGCGTAGTTTATGCCTTCGAACAGAACCTGTTTTCGGAATTAAAAGTATTTTCGCTCCCTTAATCTTTATTCAATTTAACATTCATATCGACAAGCAACCACTCACCCTGAGTGAGGTGATATGGACAGACCCTGAGTGAGGTGACATGGACTGACCCTGAAAGAGGTGACATGGACAGACCCTGAGTGAAGTGACATGGGCAGACCCTGAGTGAGGTGACATGGACAGACCCTGAGTGAGGTGACATGGAAAACCCTTAGTGAGGTGACATGGACAGACCCTGAGTGAGGTGACATGGACAGACCCTGAGTGAGGTGACATGGACAGACCCTGAGTGAGGTGACATGGACAGACCCTGAGTGAGGTGATATGGACAGACCCTGAGTGAGGTGATATGGACAGACCCTGAGTGAGGTGACATGGACAGAACCTGAGTGAGGCGATTTGGACAGACCCTGAGTGAGGTGATACGGACAGACCCTGAGTGAGGTGATATGGTCAGACCCTGAGCGAGGTGATATGGTCAGACCCTGAGCGAGGTGATATGGACAGACCCTGAGTGAGGTGACATGGACAGAACCTGAGTGAGGCGATATGGACAGACCCTGAGTGAGGTGATATGGTCAGACCCTGAGTGAGGTGCTATGGGCAGACCCTGAGTGAGGTGATATGGACAGACCCTGAGTGAGGTGATATGGACAGACCCTGAGTGAGGAGATATGGGCAGACCCTGAGTGAGGCGATATGGACAGACCCTGAGTGAGGTGATATGGACAGACCCTGAGTGAGGTGATATGGACAGACCCTGAGTGAGGTGATATGGACAGACCCTGAGAGAGGTGCTATGGACAGGTCTGCCCAGTGGCATCGCGAGGGGCGGTAAGGGCGCTAAGGGCGCCGGTGGAGGGGCGACGCGGTATGGCTTCAGAGGCGTGCACAACGCGGCCGCGTATGAGATGACATGGGAAGGTGAGATCTTAAATATACTAAATGGAATGATGAATAATAAGTGTGGGACCTTATATTATCAATATTATAACTAATATTATCCTAATATTATCAGTTTTGAGAACTTTATATAAGCTAGAAATAGTGATAACCTAATGTTATTCATAATAAATTATCACTTGATTTGTTAATAAATAGTGAAAACTTGATATTATCTATAAATTTTGAAAATTAATTTCAACCATTATTAGTTCAGACCTTACCCTTATTACTACTTTTACACCCTGAATATGAATATGAGGAAGAAATATTATCATGCGAAAACTCATGAAGGCAGCCGATAACTATTAAGCGATTCACTATACACCACTGAATTATGTATCCGGTACTGTTCGTTCCCACAGGTCGATTGTACTTATTCACAATATCCATATCTCGCATCGGTCCTGATTCGTAATATTTACACCTCGCATCGATTCCGATCTCTAATACCCATTTCTTGGAATAAGTCAGATTTCTAATATCTGCAAGTCTCTGTCTAATATCTGCATGTAATTTGTATTACCGCGTCTGGTACTGAATCTAATTTATGATATCAACATCTCGTCTCACTTACCATTTATAACACTCACATTACGTCTCAATTCTGATTCAAGGATCGACATCTCGCATGGAACCCGATTTCAAACACCCACATCCCGTCTCGATTGCCCTTTCAAACGCGCACATCTCGTCTCGATGGCCATTTCTAACACCCGCATCTAGTCTCAATTGCCATTTCTAACACCCACATCTCGTCTCGATTGTCATTTTTAACACTCTTATCTCGTCTCGATTACCATTTCTAACACCCACATCTTGTCTTGATTGCAGTTTCCAACACCCACATCTTGTCTCGATTACCACTTCCAACACCCACATCTCGTCTCAATTACCACTTCTAACACCCACATCTCGATTGCCATTTTAACACCCACATCTCGTCACAATTACCATTTCTAACACCCACATATCGTCTCAATTAACATTTCTAACACCTCATTTCTCATTGCCCGACCCCCAGACATCGTGCTGGCCATGCAGCTCTCAGCGATGTGTTTTGGGGCTCTGATCGCCCTGTGCATCGTCACCTGCTGCGCGTACAAGATTTGTGGCCCCGCTGAAGAAGAGGACTTTAGGAGCTACAGACCAGCCTTCAGACAGCCTCGAATTCCACCGGAACTATATAGGTGAGCTTGTTTCAATATTGACCATACTATGGAGACTATATATGAAATCAATATAGGCAATGAGTTAATATATATAGACCATAGATATTGAGTTAATATCTTGATATTTTATCTTCGAATGCACTCTGAAAGGCGGATGGCAGCTTTCAGGCAGCCTTGACATCTTCCAAAACTCCTGTGTGCTTAAATCTTAACGAAGCGTGTGATGCGACTATTTTCTATGAAGCCTCATACAAAAGTAATAAGCAATCACATATTTTAAGATTTATTGCCCGCTACCATAAGCATTGCATTGAACTCCTCAAGTTTTAGCAGGTGAACTCTATGGGTGCACTGAAACCTATCCTCGATGTGTAAATATAACTTCCATTTCAAAATTAGGCCCTGCACAAAGACACTGTTTTCTAACAGATTCTAAACACAATACACAATACGATTTAAAAAACGCTATTTTAAGTAAATATTTTCTCGTCGTCCCAGGGAAATCTACACACTACCTGGCGCAGGGCAAGAGAAACCCCTGATGGACAGTGGGGACGCACCTCCAGGATCGATGACGCCACATTTAGGAGGTGGCGTCGTCGACGATCCTTCTGGACTGCTGAACGGCAGAGGTAGGACCGCTGGAGGCCGTCTGGTGGGGGGCACAGGACGTGCTGGCGTGGCCCCCAGACTGGCTCAGCACCTTCACAACAGCTCTCTGGATCTCACGTGTCCACCAGGTGGTGTACCGTCTGATAGAGCTCTGTCTGAGCCTCGTCAGAACCCCGTCTAGCACGCGCAGCCCCGCCCCCCGAACACAACACCTCCTCTACTACACTCAGCATCTGCTCCTTCCATCGCATTGCCCTCATCACTGCCGCCCATCCAAGAAGACAGTCCTAGACTACACGAAATTGAACAGCTAAATGCCCGCCATCCAATTAGTACTATCGTGGCTCAAAGAGGTGGTCATCCTTCGTCAGCCACTATTAGTTTTTCAAATAGCACTCCTGAATATCTGCATCATCTAACACGATCACCTTCATCGCCTAGAATATTTACTTTCAATACCAGTTCTATCTTAGACATCACTTCATCCAATGTTTGCACGACGACCATGAACACGATCGCAGTAATGCCACCGCATTTAGTGACCACACCGCAGGTTTCAGCGACTCTTTCGACAGGGTCGCATTCTTTATATTCCCCCATGACGGTGCCATCAGTTTCGCAAATGACGCTTACGCAGCGATCATTGACGCCAGACAAAAGAGGTAAAACTACCAACACTCCTCCGCCTGCTCCTTGTCTTTTACCTCACTTGCTACTCAAGCATTGCCTCGCTGATTCAAGTTTCAAGTTTCTGAGATCTAGATCCTTATTTAGGCCGCTTCCAACTCCTACGCCTCCTCCGCCACCTCCACCAAGGCTTCCTCCCCCACCTCCTCCCACTCCCCAGCCCCCGTCACCTCCGCCCTCTGTACCTCCGACGTTTCCACATGGGTTGAAATTGGGAGGACCCACCTCCCAACCGGCCGGGTTCCCTCAACCTTCGACTTCAGCAAGGTTACTTTCCCCACCTCTTACACAACGTGTTCCAGTTCCAATATCAACACCGCCTACAAGTCATGTTTTGATACAACAAAGCGCTGGTCACAGTGTCCAATACGTGCATTCAAGTTCTTTCTCCTCGCCTCCAACGTCATCAGCTCGAAAAGTTTCCCTCGTCCCAGGTAACATGATGCCTCAGTCCGGCCCCGCGTCCACAGCGGCGAGGTCTCAAGGAGAACCACAGGTAATCTTCACAGCCGCTCCTTTGGTGTCATCACCTCCGTCTCTTGCAACTTCAGCACCTGTTGTCGAGCCCGTGCCTTTCCCGCGTCTTGCTCTTCGCCCAATAAAGTTAACTCCACCAGATACTCCTAGTCCCCCTCCTCCACCTCCTCCTCCTCCACCTCCACCACCTCCTTCGTCATCTTCTTCTATGAAAATAATGCCAAATAATGCTCCTCATCATCACTATCATCTACATCATCATCATCACCACCATCACTATCACCTGCACCACTATAGCTCTCAACCCTCCTTAACTGAACCATCGACCACGAGCTCTGCTTCTGCCCTAGCCCTCGTGCCCCCATCTACATCCGCCATGACCAGCACCGCGAAGATGCCTCCTGTAATCCACAGAAATGTCTTATTGTGCACGACCATCTCGCCTGAGCATCACTACAACACTCTAACTACAAGTACAGCCAAGGACCACGATGATGTAAGTACTACGGGTCAACAGTTTGTCACTCCTCACCCTGGAGGCATGGAACATCGGCCTTCAGAAGGATTCCTGGGAGCGATGACGAGTCAAACTCTCCAGCCTGAGCAACGAACAATTCCCATTTTCAATCGATCACAATTGTTAAAACTGAACGAACAGCAGCAAAGACATCAAGGACAAGAGCAGATCCATCTGCAACAAATGCGTATCATGCATGAGCAGGAGCGCGAAGAACAGAATCAACGGCAGATTCTACTTCAACGTCAAAAGCACAAAGAAGAGCTTCAACGGAGATTTCAGCAGCAACAACAGTACATGCATCAGCAACAACATCAACAACAACCGCAACATTCTCAGCAACTGCAACAAGATCAACAACATCACCTAGACGATGGCTTCGAGGAGCAGCATTCACTTGAAGCTTCGGCGATAGTAAGGCCCAAAGATAGAACTCACAGTGACGATAATCCACCAAGCCTCATGGCTTGGGCTCGTCCTTCACAACACTTACCGTTAGACTCACCAGAAGCTCAACCATCAGCTAGTTACTCCTCTAATTTGTTTAGACCTACCTCGCCTGACGTCGAAATTCGGTCTCCAGGAAGACGGTTTCCGCCATCCGAGAGTCAGGATGAAGACTTCGAGAGCGAGCTACACCAACAGCATCTGTTGAACCAGCACCAGCAGCAGAAGCTTCAACTGCAGGAGCTAAGACTTCAACAACAACACAAAGAGTGGCTACAAAGAAGACAAGGACAACCTCAACAAAATCTACAAGCCTCCTCATACTACAACATTTTGGAATACCAAAACGAACAAAGGATGAGGTCCCAATTTTCTCAAAATACCCTTTGAGCTTGCAGAGAAGTTGTACGTCAAGGAGCAATGCATGTTATACTCACACTCACCACATCTGGTAATATCAGTCTAGGTATTGTTGTTATATTGTTGTAGTTGTTGAACATTGTTGTTAATATATTGTTGTTTACTGAATATAGAGATATTTTCGCTCTCATCATTCGGGCGCGTGACTCCAGTTTGCAAATGAAAAAATGACAAATTATCTTGTGGTTTTAAAAGAGCTTCGAAAAATCAGAAGTGACTTCAAGGCTCTCGCCTGTGAATTGACTCATCTGCCAGTGAGTCTGTAAATTGACATCTTTTTCGAAGAAAAAACAGCACTGCCATTTAGAAAGGACGAGGAGTCACAAGACAACGAGAAGAAAACAACAGTGAGCGTCGGAAGATTGAGAAGACACTCGCCGTAGGTAAGCATTAATTCTGTCGTCAAATTCTTGAACATCGTATAATGTTTTGAAAGCAGCGAATAGTGATCTCTATTTTCCTTACCGTATAGATATGGTATAAACTCATTATCTCAGCTTAAGAGAGATTTTGAGCTTATATTTTGTATCGTGTATGCATGGAGTTTTTTACAACGTACCAAACGCAAGAGACTGAATTCCAACAGCTTGTAGAATGTTACGCCTTATGAAATCCTGTAAATTGTGACTCCTGGTTCGCTAAGAAGATTGACCATCCTTAAATGTAGTCTCAAACGTTTCCTTTCGCTTATTTGCGATCCCAGACTCAATGATTTCAAAGATTCCTCCTGAACACAAACAAATACTGAAAGTTACTGATCCACATTAGAAAATTTAGGGCACAACTAATGTAAATACTACAGTACTCGGGGACGGTCGGGGCGATATATGTCGTCTGTGTAAATAGCTACGGGAGAGCCGGTCTCCTCAGTCGGTGGAAATTGTGCAGACCTTCTCTTGCGCGCGCGAAGCCTGCAAATCGAGTGTCAAGAATATAATAATCCTTCAAATATCTATTCGTATAACGAATAAAATAAGCTCCTAAAGTAATTTACAGACTAAATCGAACAATAAATATGTATACAATAAATTTTTTTATTGATCTCGACTGCAAACTTTAGAGCTCGACGGTATTCTGCCTCAGGCAAGCATCAGGAGAAGAATTTGGTGGCAAATTTTGCGCAGCGTTAAAGCATGTGATCTAAATATGGTATAAGGAAGGAGTCCCACGCACAACCTCCTTCGCAATAAGTTATTCCTAACTTTTATTTTTAGATGAAACTAAAATAGGATATAAGTTGGTTGATTAATTCACCTCAATTTAAATCTAGTCCTAGATTTAATCATCGAATAAATCGTTTTACATCTGGTCAATGATAAGGGAGAAACCTTGCGAAATGATTTAAAAAAATTTAGTGATGAAATCAGTGAATCGCAATCTGCGTTGAAAAAAATTGTCCAGAGTGTTAATGATGTTACGTAATCAGATTTAATTAATAATTCTAAGAAAATATGAACATTCAATCTGAATATAGTTCAATATTTAATTCGAGATTAAAATATGATATCGTTATTTATAGAATATCAATGCACTGTAATGCGTTTGAATTTTGATGAAACTACTACACATAATTTTTGATTGAAAAAAAATGTTGGTATTACAAAATTTTAAAAAAATGCTGCGATCATTTCAAGTTTTCAACGGCCTTTTTATCACGCTGATTGATTATATAATTATTCATTCAACGGATCAACTTCAGAACTATTTTTCAGTGTTTTATTTAGGTGGGTTTTTGAGGTATATTTCTCCGTGCAATATTATCTCGAGGATATATTATGGCCAATTTTTCCTGACCACTGGCGGATCAAGCATTTGTAACTTAATGAACTATAATCGTACCCCAGCCCTCTCTTTGGATTAAAAATGTACACTGCTTTTCTATTTTTGGCGGGTTAAGTAAGTCCGAAATGTGGTCCATTTCCTTAGTAACTCTGAAGCCAGGGGACCAATTTCATTTGTTGCCATGCTTCTTTACTATATTAAATAAGCTCGAGTACTTCGTGAACGGAGACAGCACTATTGAAACTACACGCAGCGGCCTAAGTAAAGTACACGCAGCGGCCTAAGTACACGTAGCGGCTTATTTTTTGTCTACGATTGTAGGGTTCAGCGTGTAAAGCTGTCACTTATTGGCTGTTATGAACTCGTAACTATCATTGATAATACGGCCAGTTGTGAACACGTAACTATCATTGATAATACGGCCAGTAGTGAACACGTAACTATCATTGATAATACGGCCAGTTATGAAATCTTAACTATCATTGATAATACAGCCAGTTGTGAACACGTAACTATCTTTGATAATACGGCCAGTTGTGAACTCGTAAGAATAATTGATAATACGGCCAGTTGTGAACACGTAACTATCATTGATAAGACTGCCCCAGGGTGCTCTACCCATATATACATGTACCTGCTGGATGCAGCCTGTAAGTTTGATGGACACAAGTGACAGATAAACTTTTATTTTAATAATATTTGATCTCGCAAAATAACACAGTGGAAACATTTTTCGGTGCTCTGAATCGTACGTATTGTAGTTTGGTTAGTTTCGCTTCTGAAGTCATGATACAAGTCATGGTCACGATACCAGTCATGGTCACGATACCAGTCATGGTCACGATACTAGTCATGGTCACGATACCAGTCATGGTCACGATACCAGTCATGGTCACGATACCAGTCATGGTCACGATACCAGTCATGGTCACGATACCAGTCATGGTCACGATACCAGTTATGGTCACGATACCAGTCATGGTCATTTCACAAATTTTTCTTTATCCTTAAGGCTCAAGACTGGCACTGATTGCTTTAATAGTCACAATTGTAAAGATTAAATGGCTAACGTCCACAAATATACAACTTGTGTGAAACCAAACAAACGCCAAACTGAAAAACCTGTACGAAATTAACGCATGTATGCAAGAATGCGACTGAAAATATTTTTTTTTCTGATAAAAACGTTCATATTTTGTTTCTGAACAATGTTAGCAAAAAGTTTGAAGCACTTTATTGCTCGAATACTAATAACTGTGCCCTTATATGTAGGTTCTGGTGTCACAACCCGAAGCATTTAAGCCTGGCTAGGTTCGTAAGTCATGTATTCGGTGTATAGGACCGTGCGTATACCTATCGTGCGTAAGGTATATATTCGTGCATATACCTACCGTGTAAATAGAAATCCAATGCTTCTTCATATTAGTTCAACGTGAGCCTAGATATTTGTTGTTAAAAGTTTGTGCTACTGTAGATATGCTGCTTTTAAGTGTTGAACATTACCAGTAATTTTAAGACGATGTCTTGATTTTTAAGACTACCTACACATTAATTCGTAAAAATTATTTATTGACTTCAGAAGTAACTAGTTGAAAATTTTTCTTCTTAAATTAGTATTGTTAATTGAGCCCTTCAACTATTTTTTTCTTCAACTCGCAGTCACGTACATGCTGGCTGAAATGCGTGGCATGCAACACGCTGGCTGAAATGCGTGGCATGCAACACTCTGGCTGAAATGCATGGCATGCAACACGCAGGCTGAAATGCGTGGTATGCAACACGCAGGCTGAAATGCGTGGCATGCAACACGCAGGCTGAAATGAGTGGCATGCAACACGCAGGCTGGTATGCGTAGCATGCTACACGCTGGCTGAAATGCGTGGCATGCAACACGCTGGCTGAAATGCGTGGTATGCAACACGCTGGCTGAAATGCATGGCATGCAACACGCAGGCTGAAATGCGTGGCATGAAACACGCTGGCTGAAATGCGTGGCATGCAACACGCAGGCTGGTATGCGTGGCATGCAACACGCTGGCTGAAATGCGTGGCATGCAACACGCGGGCTAAAATGCGTGGCATGCTACACGCCGGCTGAAATGCATGGCATGCAACACGCTGGCTGAAATGCGTGGCATGCAACACGCTGGCTAAAATGCGTGGCATGCTACATGCCGGCTGAAATGCGTGGCATGCAACACGCTGGCTGAAATGCGTGGTATGCAACACGCAGGCTGAAATGCGTGGCTAGTTAACTGTTAGCAACAACGATTGTTCAGTTACTGAATTTACATCCGCAACATTTATTATTGTATTGCAATGTTAATGATAGTCTGTGCTCAAGCAATTTATACATTTAATATTATTATTCAAGCATCTTATTCTAGTCTGGATGGATGATTTTAAAATTATTCGCTCTATGCGATCAAGTGAGTTTAAGCAAGTTTAGCACCGATAACACGTGTCGAGGATTGTGTTGAACTGCTTATTACTTTAACTGCTAATTGATAATAATTTAATAATTTGAAAATCGTATATATGACCAATTTACAGTGTTTGCATGTTTGCTCGATTATCAGGGATATTTTAACGAGGAGTGAAACCATTTCCAAAAAGTCGTCCTGTATTTTAGAAAACATTACACGAATTAATCAGAAACGGGCTACATGATTCAGATAATGGAGGAATGTTTTGGTTTTAGACTGACTTCGGTTTTGGCTAATGCAGATTTAATCCTGATTATTATGTTGATTATTATGTTATACATGTCGATTGGAGCTCCATTATTATGTTGATAATTATGCTATACGAGTGTGCATGAATCTCGATTATTAATTTGAGGATTCACCTCTTGCATAACATCCTCAATCATCGTTTCCCCATTCCAAGCAGCTAAATCTCGATTTGATTCTTTAGATTTGTAGGAAAATATTTCGTGACGAAACAATGCCAAAATTTTATCTTTTATTTTTCCGACTTTTTTAGCTTTTCTTTTTCCGACGTGTTTTTATTGTGGGTTTTGCGTGGTTTACATTTAAGTATTCGCTAAAAAGCCAATAGTCCAGTTTACGTAGAGAATTTATGTAACGTTTGGTATTTTCTCAAATATATGTATAAAGAAGCCAAATAAAATTAGTATCCGTTGGTTTTTCCTGTTACATGAGTGATGATATTTAGCGACGCACATGATAGCAGTTATTATTTAAATTGTACATTATTAGTTATTATTATTATTATTAACATTAGTTATTATTTAAATTGTAAACTTGATGCTTGCATGACAAAGTTACGATACGCATCAGAAAAATTTCTTTACGTAGTTTTGTAAAAAAATTCGATAACACTTTTTTTACGAAGACTGGATATCACACGTTAAATAATTTGCACCATATTTAGAAAAATTGTAAAAGAGGCTCAGTACTAATTATACATTATAATTTTTTTTGAATAGTGATATTTTATCAAACATATTCGCTGATTGGATATCGATTTTATATTCATAACTAATACTCATTATCTTCGAAATTATTGATTTATATTTGAAATCACACTTGTTCTTCATGAGTAAAAATTATAGCGAGAAAATTCGAATGATTTTTTAAAAAACTCTCCTTGGATCGAAAACTTTCACCAATTCCATGCCAAAATTAAATAAATAAACAAAAAAATAATATGTAAGTCAATTTCATTAGATTAACAATCGCTAGTGAGATTATGATTGATGCTTTTTAATACACATCTTTATTTATATATCGTGTATTTTTAAACAGTTCAGTTTAGTCAAGAATAAAAGAAATGTGCTTGTGGCTCAAATACATATTATAAATATTAATTTCTACAATAATTGCTTAGATTTCCAGGTTCATTATAAACCCATCGATACAATTAAGTCAATGGTTATATAATAATCATTAGAATCAATCCTACTTATATGACAAAAAAGTATAGAATTGATATTAAAATGTTCATTACCAAGTCACAAGACATAAATGCATGCGTTCTAATAAATTAAAAATTGACTGTAGGTTTATGAATTATTTTTCCCAGCACATTAATAGATTATTATTATTATTATTATTATTGAATTTTAATATTGAATTTTATTAATAGGACGGAGGATGTATGCCAATGTTTGTGATAGTTGCACTGTAAAGAATATAACTTAGGACCAGGCCGTCTTCTGTTGCCTCAAGTTCACTCTGTAATTCATAAGTTTAATAATACTTATAAATTTTGAATTAATTCTTACAAATTTGGTTGTTTGTAAGGAGATTCTAGAGCGAGTCTGATCGGCTTGTCAGTGTAGGTGTGGAACTCGTCGTGCGTTCCACATTAAACTGAATAACGATGTTTTGCATTTTATTTATCCTTTCGAAATTTGGATTTAGTTCATATTATCCTAATCCGCAATACCGAACACAGTTCTCTTTACTATGATGAAAATTTTCTTAGTTGTGTGAACTATATAATATTAATTAAATCTTTGTAAAAGTCAAAAATCGTTAAATATGTGGAAGTATCATATAAGTGTTGGACGGTCAAATAACAGTTGCTGTAGATTGCATCACTGGAAAAACTTGAGAAAATAGATATATTTACGATCATTTAGGTGAACACCTCTGAATTATGGACAGAGTGATGATCTTCAATAAGGTTTTCATCAATCAAACTTTGTCGGCTGATAACGTAATACTTGGTGGATGTCAACTTTCATATTAACATAATTAATTTTTTTTATTACATAATAATCAGTTGCATAAT